ATTTGCTGCACTTTAGGTGGTTCAGTGCCCAGATAGTCAACCTACCCCCACATGGAAGCAATGTATCATCTTCATCCTTCTCGTGAATCATCGGTACTTCATTGCAACTGCTAGCTCAATGACGCGAGTTGCGTCTGGCGATGAGTGTGCGTCTCTCTGCTGCTCCTTCCATCGCCCGTTCACGAAACTTCCTCTGACTCGCCACCCTTCCCGTGCGCGTCACAATCGTGCACTTACTGGAGACGGTGGCACAATCGTAGGGAAGGGGGGGGGTGTGGAAATGACACGGCGCAACACCTTATCCAGACGCTCTAAGATGTGGCGGTTTGTGTTGACGGCAGTGCAAAAGCGCAAATAACAAAAAGAGGTTCAACGCGTTGGACAGTGACAGCGTGTATCGTCTGAAGAAGCCAAAATGGATATTGGGTGACGTTTCGGGCAATGGCTCTTCTTCATCTTCTTGGCGCATTAAACTCTGCTGTGCTATCAAGAAGGGGCCGTCGCCTCCTGAGACATGGTGTGAAGAAAAGCCATTTGCCCAAAACGTCGCCTAATATACATTGTTCCTTTCAAGGCCACAGTGTTATTGATGAACATGTCTCGTTTTTTTTAGTTTGTTATACAAGCACAGGTTTGATATAAGCAACGCGTCCTTGTGTTACACTTGTGAGGGGGGGGGAGGAGGCAAAGGGCAACATCAGATAGACGCCACACTACTTTGATTATTAAGCTTGCTCCCAAGGGCCCGTGCTTATAGCCCCACCCCTCCCGAAGCCGGCACAGTTTGCCTACTGGCTGGCACAGCGCTACCACGCACACCTCAGTGCTAAATTGCGCGTGCGGCGGCGGCGGCGGTGGTGGTGGGTTGGTGGTGGCGGAGACGGAAGGGAAGAGGAGATGCCGTACAAGGCTGGCGAGTGTTCTCCCAGCCAAGGAAAATAGACGCAACCAGAACGGGGGGAGGTGGGCGGGTGGGAGGAGGAGGGGGGGAGCTTCTTAAAGCGAAAAGCAACGTGGAACTGAAATCTCGAGAGCAAAGCACAGAAGGAGATGGAATGTAGAGTCGCAGCGTCAAGGCAGGAATATCGGAGGCAGAGAGATACGAAGCCGTGCGCGGTCGGGTTGTGCCGAGGTTTAGAGGGTTCCGCCGATCTTAATCTACGGGCTGTGAGTTCAAATCCCGATCGTGGGGTGGGGCGGGCATGCGGGCGGAGGGAGGGATCACAACACGATTTGGATTCGCAGAACATCGAAACGTGGCCGCATCGCGAGAAACTGTACAGAACTACAGCACGCGTGTTTATTTTAAAAAAAAGTAGGCTCGTCGTTGGTACAGGAGCGGCGGAGTCGACAGCGCTGATGGCGATCGAACGCAAAGCACTGCAGTCGATTAACGAGAGTACTCCCGGCATGCTGCAGCTCTGACTTACATACCCGTGGGCTTATTTTGGGTCTGTTCACTGTGTCAGGTCCGTGATGCGCGAAACACGAACAAACCCACCCACGTTCTGCATTACCACTCGAGGAGTGAACAAACGTTGTTCTAAGGATTAACCGGTTCTTGTCATGGGAATGTGGAGTTTGCACTCCTGGCTCAAGGCTGTTGGCAGAGACTAGCGAGACCAGACACTCATTTGAGACTCGCTGCACGAACGTCATGCGTGTTATAAACATAGGACTTACGGTATTAATGTGAGTAGTGAGGAAGTTTGATTGTCACAATGAAGGCGAAATGTTCAGCGGAACGTAAAGCGAACCAGTTGCGCCGAAACACAGGGGAAGTTCGGAGCCAAAAACAGAACATGAAAGAAATGCGAAACGGAATTGTGGCTTCATAATATAGAGGGGCGATCCTTTTATAGCAAAATCCCCAGTGGAATAAAGAGGAGAAAATATAAAGAGAGCAGCGCATCTTATTTCACGTCTCCCACACATCTCGATATCACGAAGTCACCGAAGCTATGCACTTTTAAAATCTAGATTGAAAACTCACTTTCTTCAAAACTGCTTTTTATGTTCAGTTTGTTCCCCCCCCGCCCCGCAACGGTTGGCGACGGATGGTGCGAAAGAAGTACGGCACACATATGTACAATCTCAACACACTTATTGAATCTTTGAACACTCCCTCCCCCCCCCCCCCCCCCGATACACTCCTTCCAACACAGCTGGTGTGACTTGCATGCAGGCATTCAGCGGTGCGCAACTGAACGCCGTTGATATCTCACACCTCTCCGTCACGTGCAGGGCACCGCACGGCCTTTGATGTAACGCCACGGGGGAGGGGAAAGAAAAAAAGAAACAAGCCCGGTGGGTTCATATCGGGCGTACGCGGGGGCCACCTTGGCCATGGGAAGCCAGAAGGCTGAAATGGGAAGTCGACATTTTTATGGATACAGAGAAGAAAAATCAAGGATCCGAAATACGGAGCCGGAATGTGCGGCCAGCATCGTGGTTTTGGAGAGAAATAGGGAGAAAAAAACCAGAATAAAAATTGGAAGCAGAAATGTTGAGATAGAACACAAAGAACAAAGGAACATCAAGGGGAACAGATAGACAGCTTGAGACATTTACAATAACTCACAAGATCAGCCTACCCGGCTCACGTAGCTCAAAGTCCAAGTGATTTCCGGCACAATTGGGCATTGAGGTGGTGCTCATCTGCTGCTGACAGCCCTGAGCCACATTCCTATGGCGGGAGCAAAACACTTGTAAACTAATCAGGAATAAATACCCCATGGGAAGAATTTACAGTGCTTTGTCAATCCACTGCTAGATGAAGGCCTCCCCATTGCGAGTCGGTCGTAAGAGGTTTTTTTGGCCGTACTTCCTCACACTGTTTGGGACGATTTAGTGAAGGGCCAACAGTTCCAGGATGACTTCATATAACACTACGCCACTATGTTAGCCATAGCTAGGAATCAAATCAGTTGGCCGGGTGCATAGCATGATGCAATGAGCACTGCACCCCAGCCCCCAACTCCCCCTTCATTTGAATAAATAAACAACACGACTGTATAATTAGAAACAAAAAAATGAATAAAGAACTCGACAGGCAGGCAAGCAATAAATACTGCGCAGGGAAGAATGTGGACCCAGAACGTGAAGCTGGAACCACACTCACCCCTGACACTTGCTCGGTGCATTGTGGGGGACAGGTCACTCACACGCCCAGTCAGCTCAGGGAGCTCGAAATAACCGTGGCACGAGAGTGACCCCCAGCACGACGGCGATGGTCGGCTTGTGACATTAGCCACTTTGCTTGCTATCAAGAAAGGTCCCGAAGTGTATTTACACCTCACCCACCACCGATTTACCTTCCCAGTAAGATGATGGACAAACCTCTGTATCTTATTCTCTCCAAAATCTCTCAACATGTCTCTCCATATAACCACCTCTCTCCATCGATCCCTGTCCACCTTTTCTCATCTTTTTTCCACCCTCTCTAAGATTATTTTCTCCGCTCTCCCGTAGCCCTCCCCCGCCCCTCCCCACCCCCCTGTCCCATGCCCTTTGTGCCTTGTTGTATATTGCACCACTGTGTTGTCCTAGAATAATAATAATAATAAACACGTTTTAACCTGTAACACGCTGCACGGTATTCGCTCGCTCTGGTGGCGAGAGAGAGAACGGCTGAGAGGAGCGAGGAGGAACCCACAGACGAGAGGGAAGGCAGAAGCGGCAGCAGCAGCCACGCCGCGGGCCGACATCAACATTTGCCCGAGAGCTCCCGAGCTGACTTCTTCCACCACCACCCCCCCCCCCCCCCGAAAACGGTGAAGCGCACCCCGCACTACCCACGTCGGATCCGGCCACCGCCTCCGCGAGTGGGAAAACCGAAGAGGAACATCCGAGTGCTCAGCACACCGCCGGGTACGCCATGAACCAATGCCAACTTCACAAATTGAAACTCGAGACAGCAGCAGCAGCGGCGGCGGCGGCGGCGGAGGAAATGTATTCGGCCTCGCCTGAAGCTGTTATTTGCATGGCTTCAATCGTGGATAAGTTGTTATTCTTCTAAGCTGTGTGCAAGACGACAATGAAAAGCGTGGAGGGAACTTCGGAACAAAAAAACAACACTCATTGTTTTTTTCGTAATGGACTTTTCGTAACATACACAACCGCAATGTGTTTTTTCGTATTGCTTCAGGTTTGCTCCCTCCGCTCTGCGGTTGTTATCTCCGCAGTTGGCGAGGTGAACTTTCCTGCCATTGTGTCTTGAGACACGAGAGGTGACGGCAGGGGCCATTGATATTGGGATGAATGGAGCAAGAGGAAACGAAGGCTCAAAATCACAGCCAGACGCACGGATAAACAAGGAAATACGCAGACAGAACCCAACAGACGGACGGAATGACCAGACACATACATACACATACATACACATGCATACACAACAGACAATAGTTTAGTAACTAATGGTTGATTAATCAATCGATGCTAACCCTCACGAGGCATGCAACGAGTCTTGAGTGTGACAATCAACTATTTATTGTTGCGTGCAAATTGTATATCATCTGTTCCTTTGGGCGAAAGCCGGAGTGCCCGGACGAAAGCTACGAGTGTCATGTGCGGGGGGGTGGGGAAAGGGGGGGGCGCTAAATCCGCGTACATAGTCACACACAAACACACACAGAGGAACCCAGCACACAGCTGGAGATAAACTAAAAAACTGTTTCAAGTAAAATTTTCAGAAGTCACCTGGCCACGAACGACAGCTCAACGAAGTGGCTTATCGTCATGTGGAAATTCGTAGCAGCCCAATACTCTGAACGCACATTTACAAATATGGAGGGGGGGAAAACCGGAGGACCCGGAGAAAAATCCACACGACCGTGGGAAGAAAGAGAGAAAGACACCGCAAACTCCAAATATGCAGCAGGGTATCAGGTGGTCGGGATCGAACCCACAACCTCCCGCATAGCAGGCGAGGCAGTTAACATCTCACCACCGTGGCGCGCCCCCCCCCCCCTCGCTCCACGGCTCCCTCCGGAGCGACTCACCGTGTGCGTTCCTCCCACAGATCAGATGCTCGTACGGCTGTAGGAGTCCGTAGAGCTCCGGGTCGTTTCCCACAGCTGCGTCCAACGCCTCGGGGCATAGCGGCCTACCACGGCGACGTCGGTGGGCCGATCCTCCAGACCCAGATCCCCCTCCTCCTCCTCCTCCACGGTGGTAGCTGTGGTTGTAGCGGCGGTGGTGGTGGTGGTGGTGGGCGGGCAGCTGAAACGATTTGCGCCGACAAACCAAACAAAACCTTGAACGATCGTCGACCATCGTCGTCGCGAGAATGATTCGACGGTAATCGCGGGGTGGGGTGGTGGTGGGGGGGGGGGGTTAACACGGCGGGGACATTTTAGAGTAAGACCTCCGTGTACGTGTAAAGCCCTTCGTCAATCCACTGCTGGATGAGGGCCTCCCCACACTTTGTGTAGAATGAATAACAGACTGGGAGAACGCTAGGTGCCATCGTGCCTTGTCGTGTTTTATATAATACCGCACTAGAAGCAATGATAATAACAGTAACAATGACAAAAGTGTACACGCACAGCCCTGTAACCCACTGCTGGATGAGGGCTTCTGTGCTATGTCAGTCATATGTGGGGTTATGACCATAGTTCACCATGCTGGTTCTTGCCGGTTAGAGCAAGCAGGGAGCATAGTTTCGGCATAGAAGTACGGTACAACGATGGATGTTTTTGCACTGCTCTCTCCAGCGCACAACAGAAGCCCCGCAGCAGCCTATAACACCTGTAACGCATGGCAGTTGCCCTTCCGAGGGCAGGCTAGGCAAATCCAGGCTGAGCCCTGCATAGCTTCCGGGACGTGACGAGATCGGCCACATTCGAGGGAATTTTCTCAAAGGCTGACGTCGACAGCTGACGAGATGCGTACTGCGCCGCTGTGAAAGATATTCTTACATTTGCCGGTGATAGAGCAAAAAGCGCGAGCAGAAGGTCAAATGAGTTAAACGTTTTCCCTCCGCGCACAGCCCAAGTGCACCGCGCGGACGCGGGCCAATCCCAAGAAAGGAAACGCAGGGTGTGGGGATTCCGCTGGAGCGCAAAGATGCCAAGGTGAAGACCCACACCCATTGAGCCAGGATGATCTAATCCGAGGCCGATCCATGTGGCACACAGGACACCCAAAAAAAACAAAGATCCCCCCCATATAGCCTTCGTAGACTTTTTGGGCAAGTGCTGTTAGCGAGCACCTATGAAGGCCGGCGCGGCAGCCGAGGGGGTGGGTGGCCAGCAACCACGCCCCGGCCGCCTTTGTCTCCTGAGTAGCAATATTTGCATACTGCACCAGGTACTCATTTGAGGCCGAGTCGACCTCGGGGAGGCCCAGGACTTGGTTCAGATAATCGTCACTTGTGCTGGCTGTGAGCGGGAGTCGAACTCGGGGAACCGGGATTGTAGCGCAGTGCGCTAACCACCCCACTACCGCTCCCACACGCAGGCACCACACACACACACAGACACCACACTACACACACAGACACCACACTACACACACACACAGACACCACACTACACACACACACAGACATCACACTACACACACACAGACACCACACTACACACACATAATCACCACACTACACACACAGACACCACACTACACACGCACAAACACCACACTACACACGCACAAACACCACACTACACACGCACAGACACCAGACTACACACACACGGACACCACACTACACACACACAGACACCACTCTACACACACACAGACACCACACTACACACGCACAGACACCATACTACACACACACAGACACCACACTACACACACACAATCACCACACTACACACACACACAGACACCACACTACACACACACACAGACACCACACTACACACACACAGACACCACACTACACACACGCACAATCACCACACTACACACACGCACAATCACCACACTACACACGCACAAACACCACACTACACACACACAGACACCACACTACACACACACAGACACCACACTACACACGCACAATCACCACACTACATACACACAGACACCACACTACACACGCACAGACACCACACTACACACACACACAGACACCACACTACACACACACAGACACCACACTACACACACACACAGACACCACACTACACACACACAATCACCACACTACACACACACAGACACCACACTACACACAGACACCACACTACACACACACACAGACACCACACTACACACACACACAGACACCACACTACACAGACACCACACTACACACACACAGACACCACACTACACACACACAGACACCACACTACACACGCACAGACACCACACTACACACACACAGACACCACACTACACACACAGACACCACACTACACACACACAGACACCACACTACACACACACACAGACACCACACTACACACACACAGACACCACACTACACACACACAATCACCACACTACACACACACAGACACCACACTACACACACACAATCACCACACTACACACACACAGACACCACACTACACACAGACACCACACTACACACACACACAGACACCACACTACACACACACAGACACCACACTACACACACACAATCACCACACTACACACACACAGACACCACACTACACACACACAATCACCACACTACACACACACAGACACCACACTACACACACACAGACACCACACTACACACACACAGACACCACACTACACAGACACCACACTACACACACACAGACACCACACTACACACGCACGTCCGCAGTGGTGTGGCAGTCGGCGCGATGCGCCACGAACCTGACAATCGCGATTCGATTCCGGCTCACAGCCAACATTGGCGGCGAACATATGAAACGGTCCTGTTCCTCCCCCAGGTCGACTCAGCCTTAAAAATGAGTCGGCTGGGTTGTGGTGCCCACCACACCAAGCCACCTTGTGCCGTACTGGCGTGTGGTCGATTGAGCCCATCGACACTTCACTCTGCACGTTTTAACTTGTAGAGGTGGGGGGGGGATAATAACATGCGTGTGTCTGTTTATGTAGTATTAGGGGGAGGATTATGCAACCATTCGTTGATTGATGAAAACTAAACTAAACTAAACGATTAAACTATTTTTTTATTTTACCAGGTAGGGCCCACTGAGCTATATAGCTCTGTTTCAGAAGCAACCTGGCCACTTATGATAGATCAACGAAGTGGCTTACCATCATGTTGACATTTATAGCAGCCAAATTCTCCAAGCGCATGTTTCTAATGTGGAGGGAAAAACCGGAGGACCCGGAGAAAAATCCACGTGACCACGGAAAGAGAGACGTGCAAACTCCAAATATACAGCAGGCATCAGGGTCAGGATCAAACCCACGACTTTCTGCATACCAGGCGAGGTAGTTAACATCTACCTAAAGCTAACGAGAAACATCGTCCACCGAGGCGACGGAGAGAGGAGATCAACTCGTGGGCAGGAGCTAGGATTGGTTGCATCGCAAGTCCCAGAGAGATGGCGACGGCTTGGGAAGGCCTTCAGCCAGCAGTGCAGAGATCACCCCTGATAATGATAATCGTGATACCTGCAGCTGTAATAGCGTTACTTCATACTCAATACCTATGGCACCAGAAGCGGTGATATCTGCAGGCATGGCGATGCCAACTTTGTGATGAAGAGGAAAGTGGTATTATTTGAACAGATTCTAATGAGCTGGGAATTGAAAAAAAAAACATGGCTCCTACACGTATGTAGGTACGTATGTTGAACTTGTTTCGCACTGTACGTAGCCAACCGTGCTAATCGGAGGTGCGGAAAAGGACATGAAAACTAAATTCAAAAAGCACTTCTACATAAAGGAGTTTTCAATCTAGATTTAAAAAATGAATAGCTCCAGTGGCTTCCTAATATCGGAAGGAAGAGCGTTCCCCAGAAGCCGATCTGAAACAATGCGATGCGGTGACCACCGTCTTTGTTCGATGGCCAGCAGCCAAAAGCCGCTGCTTCTGCGAGGATGACCGGAGCTCGCGTGACGGTTTACGCTCCTTGACGAGATCGGCGAGGTACTGTGGTTCGTTTGCGGCGGGCACTTTGCGTGCAACGGGTGCATTCGTTCGGCAACCGGAAGCCAACGCGGCTCGAGCCAATCGCGTAGCAGCGACGACGGGCGACCTCATCGACGCGTACCTCCTCTTTCTTCTCGTGCGCCCCATCCTGGCCCGCAGTCATCTCCGCCGCCGCCGCCGCCGCCGCCGCCGCCTCCTCGTCTTCGTCCCCGACGGCGCAAGCGGCCAGCGCCCGCACCGCCACCTCGTCCACCAGGGCCTCGACGCAGGCGGCGAGCGCGATGGCCGCGTGCTCGTGCACGCGCGCCGCCACGCGCGCCTCCGCCATCCAGCGGTGGAGCCGCCCCACGGGCAGCGAGAGGCCGCAGCGCTCCGCCTTGCCGCGCCAGCCGCGCTCGCCGCCACTCAGGCCGTAGAGCGAGAGGGCGCGGGCCGCCCCGGCCAGGCACGCGTCGGCCAGCGAGCGGGACAGCACGACGCGCGCCGCGCTCTCCACCTCGTGCCGCGTGCACCTGCGGGAAGGAGGTCAACACGGGGGTTTCATGGGTTCGTGTTCGTAATGCGATTTTTTTTTTTAGGGGGGCCCGGGGAGGGGGGGGGCGGGGGATTTGAATTGAATTTTTTTTGGGCCAAAACCGTAACGGTTTCGTCAAAATTGCGAAAAGGGCGGGCGAATCGTTTACACGCACGTATTAGACCAGATTATTTGCGCTGTTGGCGAACACCTGCGCATGTATGTATGTTGGACTTCTTTCGCACCTATGCGTAGCCAACCGTGCTAATCCTTTTCATGGGCCGTACCAGCCTATGAATTGCTGGCACGGCACACGGAGGGGTGGGTGGCCAGCACCACACCAGGCCATCTTCGTCTCCTCAATGGCGACGTTCACACATTGCACCAGGCACTCATTCATGGCTGGGTCGACCTAAGGGACTTCCAGGACCGGTTCAGATAATCGTCGCCTATGTTGGTCGCGAGCTGGAATCGAACTCGGATTTGCCAGGTTTGTGGCACAGTGCGCTAACCACTACGCTCTCCCTCCCCACAGGCATGCACACACAGACAGACTGATACCGAGGCACGCAGACACAGAGATGTCAGGCTGACAACACGGATGCGAAGTGACAGGAAGACATGAATACAAATAGAAACCGTGAGTGGTATTGTGACACACACTCCCTATGCCTCTAGCTAAACGCACCTCAACGACAATAACATTATCCGTTGCAGACAGTGTCATTACAACAATTTGATGAGAGGCAAAACAGCATGTCAACAAATGTTGCACGATTTACATATTATATATCGACTCACAACGGGCGACCTAAGTGATGCAAGTAAAACCAAACAGCGGGCAAAAGCAACCGAAGTCGCTCACCTGGCATAGACGAGGCTGAGCCTCTGCGCCTCGCGGGCCAGCCGCACCAGCGCCACGCCGGCCATCGACGACAGGTGGGCCACCACCTCCTGCGGAACCCGCCCGGCCGCCACGGCCTCGCGGGCCCTGCCCTGGGCCAGCATCACCGCGACGTCGCGCACGTTCCACGGGGCATCCTCCTCTTCCAAGCCGGGCAGGCGAGTCCAGTTCCCCGCGGGGCCCGCCGCGCCTTCGCCGTCCTCGGCGAGCGCCGTGTTCACCGTGTCGCAGCTGCCGTGGCCGCTGCGTGACCCGGCCGAGCCTTCTCCTCCTCCTCCTCCTCCTCCCACGACACCCGGGCCGTCGCCGCCAGCGCCGCCAGCGCCGCCGCCGTCGCCACCGCCACTTATTACTCCGCCGCCGCCACGGGCGGCACCGCCACTACCACCCCCTCCGGCGATTTTCCCGGCGCTGCCGCCGGTGCTGCCGCCGCCACCGTTCCCGGGGCTTCCGGCGCCGGCGCCGCGGGCCGTGCGGGTAAGCGAGCCGCACTGCAGCGAGGAGAAGCTGAGGGATCTGCACGAGCCGCCCGTGCCACCGTAGCCCGAGTCCAGAGTGAGGTCCTCGAGGGTACGCACTGGAGGAGTGGGGCAGTCCAAACCGGCCATCCCAAGCGGCGCCCCAGCGCGGCGGAACTCCAGCGTGCCGCGATGCCGAGCGACGGTGTCCCGACGACCTCCTCCCCTGCCGCTTAGGCCCTTCGTGAGCGGCTGCGAGGAAGCACGCGCGGCCCTCCCTCGGACGTTCCGTTTAAATCCGCACGCTCTTAACGGCTCTGGTCGTAAGACGTCCCAGCGCGCCTTTGTTGGCCCTGCATGTAATCCTGCAATTGACACACGAGTGCGCACGCACACACGTTCCCAACTTGTTTAGCGTGACCGAACATCGGGCGTGGGGTTGGGTGGGGTTGAGGTTTGGATTCTAGATTTGAAGCTTTCGTGACTGCAAGGATCCATACTCTTTGGTTCTATTAGGTAAAGTCACGTAGGTAAAAAATAAAACAACGTCGTGATTTTTGTTGTTTTATTTTTTACCTACGCGACTTTACCGAATAGAACCAAAGAGTATTGAAGTTTGGAAATTCGGCGCTGTTGCGTGTCTATGTTTTATTTTCTTTCCAACCATGGACGTTGTAAATTGACGCAGGCGATGCGACTTTGCTTTCATCCAGTTGAGATGGCACATTGAGAAGTGTCTCTTTTGCACGGATCCCGTGGGAACAGTTTTACCATCAGAATCGGAATCTTCATTTAAACTGGAAGGAATCCGACGAGCTATGAAGCCCTTTTTCACAGGTGTCCACGAGACAAAGTGCCCGTAGGGACATCGCGCAGGCTAGTGCAACCCTTCACGTTAGAGAGCGGGGAGATCACACGGTTGTCGGTTTTGCACGTTCTTGCACGTTGTTTGAAAGTTATGAGTTGGTACGGCAGAAAATAATTGTCTACAGCGAAGTTGGCATATTCGGGGGGGGGGGGGTATGTGTAAACCACGCGATAACGTGAAAATATAGCCCGCCAAATGTAGTAACCATGCAATTACGCCAAGTTCACAGAACATACGAAGGACGTGAAAATATACCCGCGAAATTATACCGCGGAAATATATACCGTGAAAATATACCCGTCAAAGTTCGTAACCATTCAGCTCGACCAAGTTCACAGAACATACGAAGGACAGTCTTCTTCTACCACGCATTTATCACACTCATGTGGGGTCCAATAAACTGAAGGGCAGAATATCGTACTAATCACATCTCCATCACATCGCCCCGTGCACACACATACAGCCCAAACATACATTCCCGTAATCTGCACAAACATAAACATACAAGCTTACACGTTTAGGCATACACGTCCCGCTAAACTCGAGACATAACACACTTCCAAACATATATACACTGCTCTAATACCATCAAACAATTTGCAATACTATACAGCAGAGTACATATTCGCAAAAGAGATAGATTCACCGTTTATACCGTAACTGTTCAAACACACATGCATGCCATGATGCACACGCCAAATTCTAAACGACCAACATGAATGTTAAACACACAACACGAGACTCCCCCACACACTAAACACTCCACTCTATATAATGAACCTTTTAAACACGCGCGCACACACACACCCCCACCCACCCACCTTTTCACACCCACACAGCTCTGCATACACCCATGCACACACCAAAGACAGAGGCACCCCATATAGCCTTAACAGACTGCAGGGGCAAGTGCTGTCGGCCAGCACCTTTGAAGGCCGGCGCGGCACACGAAGGGGGTGGGTGGCTAGCACCACGCCCGGCCGCCTTTGTCTCCCCAGTGGCGATGTTTACACACCTCACCAGGTACTCATTTCAGGCTGAGTCGACCTAGGGGAGGCCCAGGACCGGTTCAGATAATCGTCACCGGTGTTGGCCGTGAGCGGGAATCGAACCCGAGTCGCCGTGTTCATAGCGCAGCGCGCTAACCGCTACACTACCGCACCCTAAACACACACGCACAGGCGCGCGTACACACACACAGGCGCGCGTACACACACACAGGCGCACACACACACACAGGCGCACACACACACACAGACGCACACACACACACAGGCGCGCGTACACACACACAGACGCACACACACACAGGCGCACACACACATTTATATCCACACACACGCGCGTGCGTCCTGTCAATATCGGTTCTTCACCGTAGCCTGCAAATTAGCTCAAAGCCGTACAGCGACTGTAATGCGAAACACGTTTGTTTTTGTTGGGAGGGAGGATGGAGAGGCAGAGAGAGAGAGAGCGCGCACGGGCGCTCTGAAATACCGAGAGCTGTATGGTCATTGCGTAACACGATTTGCGTGCGTGCCGAGTCGGTCGTGGTGGCACGGTGGGGGGGGGGGGGGGTTCTCGAAATTAATCATAGAAGAACGCAGCCCTTCGAGGGAAGCGCGTTACTTTCTGGGGTTTTAAAAGCAAAAATCTGGCGTGACGCTGGGGTGTGATCGGAACAGACCCAGGTGCCATGGGTTAACTGACATGAGATGACTTGGCAGATGCCGTCAACTGTGCTCCCCCCCACCGTGCCAACTCTCTGCGTTTTATCCGCCCGGCGCTCCGCACGTTGTTGTGAGCGCCCGCTCATCTGCCCTCCGTTGTTGCTTGGAGGCAGCCCCCAGTCCTCGCGCTCGCCGTCCAACACCCCCAACTAACACCCCCAGCCCTACTCATCACCTAAGTCAATTTCCCCTTCTCTCCAACCCTCAACCCTCTCCTCTAACCTCAAATCCACGCCCTCTCTACTCAACATCTTTGACTCACTCTGGCTCCAGAATATATATTTAAGTTGCTTTGCCTCTTAATAATAATAACTCTAGTGTACCTCGCCAGGCTTCCAAGAACGTCTGGCCTACGTGAGAGCAGTCAGCCAAATATCCTTTTCGAGGGGCTCCCCTGAGCTTCCTCTCGTCGCAGGCAATCCGATCACGAATAATAATGACAGCTTCTACAGCGCTGTAAAACATGGTAAGCAGGTACAATTGCAGGGGCTGTGCCTTTATCTTTCTCCTTTTACCTCATCAGTGTCGTGATTGTCATCTGTCCCGAGTCACCTGTGTCATTCGTCTGTGTTTGTATACCTGGCATTCCAGTCCAGTATCACTTTGAATTTCCTTCTTGTGCTGTTATTCCTCTGACTATGCCATTGTGCCTTTATCTCGTGTTTGCTGTACCTCTCAAACTCCCTCCCCCTGTCTGCGTTTAATCTCCACGGGCCCGCAGTCATCTGGCCTCCAAACGTTTATCTAACTGTAAACTCTAAATGGGAGGGTAAAATAACAAACTCAGGAACACTACATGCCATCCTCCCCTGCCACTTTGTATAATAATAGTGACGCTAATAATAGTGGTTATAATAACAACAATAATGTTCACATACAGCCCTTTGTTAATCCACTGCTGAATGAGGGCCTCGCCACGCCGTACTAGTTGTGGGTGTTATGTGACCATACTTCACTACTCTGGTCAGCGCCCGAGTGGTGGAGGCGGTGGGGCATGAATGCACCTTCTTAGAGCCGCAATGCAGCCGTCAAAGCATGTGAGTCATGATTTCTTACACGTTACTTAGACTAACAGACAGGACCTGAGTCTGGACACAAGATATTGTCGTGCCATAAACTATAGCCATCTCACAATTGCTTTATATGTGCTATGTTTAGTCAATAAATCAGCTCATCATTCCAGCTGTGTGTCGGATGGTAAGAGCGACGGTAGACCCTGGCGAGACCAGACAGCGTGCGCACACAACTCAGACTTAACAAACCTCTCAACACACATACACAGGAGAGGCTTTCTTCCCAGCAGGACAAAACATAAACAGACGGTTATCTCATCCACTTTCTTCCAAGAGATGTTATCGAGCAAGTGGGAAGGCCTCCTGGCCGGTGGGGTCGTGGGGACTCTCCCACCCCATACACACAAGACGTACACGCTACGACAGGGATGGGGTATTTTTTGTGGTGTTTTTAACCAACTGTGGGCTAAAGTCGTGGGTTTACACAAATAGCTCAGTGGACCACACGTTGCCTTCCCGTCACTCCTGTCACTACGCGAAGCCTTTCCCACTAAAATCAGAAACACATTGTCGTTGCTCGGTCAAAAAATAAATAAAGATTCTCCCTTCTAATCCCCGATTAGTTCGGCTGAAGGGGTAAATATTGTTTGCAGAACTTCTCGCCGCCGTACGAAAATTAAACCGAGGATCATTGGTCCCCCACACCAGGGTAATGCACTGAATACAAACAGAAAACAGAGAAACAAAGATCCACCGTGTAGAATGTTGGGGCAAGTGCTCCGAACACTTTATAAGACCATGCATGGGATGGGGGGAGGTGTCAGCGGCCATGCCTAGCCACCATTGTCTCTCCAGTGCTGATATCTATAAGATGCACCAGGTGATCATTTGAGGTTGAGACGACCTAGGGGAGGCCCAGGAACAGTTATGATATCACTCGCCACGAGTACTAGCCATGGCCGGGAGTCGAATTCAGGTTTCTGTGTTTGTAGCGTGGAACAATAACAATCGAGCAGGTCTTCTCTATTGATGTATACATAAAATACTGGATACATAAACAATAATACACTATACATGAAAGTATACACCTCAAATAATCTTCGCTGGTAACATTGAACCAGTAGTGGAAAACATTACCATGGCAGGCATCAATCTTTTCATTAAAAAAAACATCTATTTGACTTTTTTTCTCACCCCAGTAAGGTAACAAATTCGAGTTGACCCCCAAGAGGAATTTGAACTTATGCCTTTATGACGGCGGGTAGACAATTGCTGTAACAACGGCTCCACCCAGCCAGACATGCATGCTCAATGATACACTCAATATCACACACACGCACACGTACAGCGGCGGATGATGCAAGAAAACGCACCATGTATGGAATGCAAAAAAAACACAAACACGCCCCATCGCACACTCACTGACCACAAAAACACTGATACACTCTGCTGTGAGTGTCTGGTGCTAATGCTCGGATTATGTAGGCGTTGGGTGTAATTAATGGGGATGACGGAAGGATTCAAAATTCGGGATTAGGATAATTAGGATCATTCACGTTCAGCAAATGGTGAACCGTAAATGATATTAGGGTGAATGACAGAATTAGTAAAAAAGTGTAATTTTGTGTTTAGGGAATGGGCTAACGTTGGTGTTTGGGATTGATTTAGTGTTAGAAAATAGGATTACGGACAAGCAGGGGTAACCGTCAAGCATAATGTGTGGGCCCACGTGGGGCCACGTGGGACCGCCAGCTTCG